AGAACCCACAACTCTACACTCCCAGGCTCTTGCCTCTAGTTTTAAACCAAAGTAACTCTCACATATCCTTATCATCCCACAAAGCCCAGTTTATTTCTGAAAAGAAAACAGTCGTGTAGTGGAAAGTTCTCCCCACGCTGCCCTTTAAACAAAGAGGGACCGATCTCACAGGGGTTGCCGGGAGATCTTTAAAAGACAACTGCACGGTCCTAGCCAGTTTGGCTCAGTGGATAGAGCGTCGGCCTGCGCACTGAAGTGCCCCAGGTTCGATTCTGGTCAAGGACACATGCCCAAGTTTTGGGCTTGATCCCCAGTAGGGGGGCGTGCAGGAGGTAGCCATTCAATGATTCTCGCTTATCATTGATGTTTCCATCTCTCTTTCCCTCTCCCTTCCTCTCTGAAATCAATAAAAAAATATTTTAAGTAAATAAATAAAAGACAACTGCATGTAAAAGGCTCCACTTAGTGCCCCCCAAACAGTGGAAGGGGACAGGGGTGGCTTTCTGTATGTGTTCTCGACACCATGTGGGTCTCGGGATGCTGTATTTCACAGCTGTAGCCGTGAGACTGCAAGCAGTAAGCAAACTTTTGTGACCAGACCTCTGACCCCGCAGGCCCTGCCAAGTCACCATGAAAAGCACGGCAGATACTATTAGGGAGAAACCTCAGAACCTCCTAAGGTCTTTTTGAAATGCGTTTCCCAGAACACGGCGTTCTCATTTCAGCTGCCAGCACTAGACATATTCCCGGGGCACAAAAGAAAGTTAAAACAACCAGAAAGCTGCTTCCCAAAATAAGGCTTGGAGATGTCTCTGGTAAGAGGCGTTCCTTCAGCTCCTCTTCTGCCTGCGCCTCATTATCCTGATACAGGGCAGCTCTCGGTTCAAAGCTGCCGGGACGGGCATAAGATGCCTCTTCCTGGAAGATAAATTGGAATAGCATCCTGTGGGGTGCTCCAAATTGAATCTGCAATCATTGCTCAAGTTACTGCAATTGTACTAGGCCAGCAGTTCTCAACCTGTGGGTTGCGACCCCTTTGGAGGTCAAATGACCCTTTCACAGGGGTCGCCTAAGACCATCCTGCATATCAGATATTTACATTATGATTCCTAACAGTAGCAACATTACAGTTATGAAGTAGCAATGAAAATAATTTTATGGCTGGGTCACAACATGAGGAACTGTAGTTAAAGGGCCAGAAGGTTGAGAACCACTGTACTAGACAATCTGCAAGGAACAAAACAAACACAGCTTCCATCCCACGCCACAAGGACGAGGCCCCCACTGCAGCAGCCCCTGTGGGAGACGAGCAGGGGTTCGACACCACCCCCTCTGTTCACGGCCAAGGTGGCATATGGGGCGGACTCCCCTGAGAAGCACGTACTCCATAGTAGCATGAACACAGGAAATAACCTTTCTGAAATGCAGCAACGATATTACAGTGAACATGACTTTTATCCACCCAGCCACCAAATATGTACTGAATGACTATTATGTGAAAGGGACCCTGTCAGTTTCAGTAGGGGATAAAGAGAAGGGACAAAGTCCCTGTCCTCACAAAGGTAGCGGGTAGTGGGAGGGACAGGTATAAAAGTAACTATGATGCCAGGGGAACGTGATCAATCATCCTATATAATAAAAGCCCAGTGACCGAATGGTGGAACGACCAGAATGACCAGTCGACCAGTTGCTATGACGCGCACTGACCACCAGGGGGCAGGCGCTCAGTGCAGGAGCTGCTCCCTGGTGGTCATTGCACTCCGCAGCGGGAGCAGCCACTCAGAGGGTGCGTCCACAGCCTCTCGGCTGACCGGCGGTGCTCCCACAGCAGGCCAATCCCTGCAGGCCACGCCCCCCCCCACCAGTGCACGAATCTCGTGCAATGGGACTCTAGTTAGGAATATAAACAAAATGCTACTGTAGTTCAGAGGAGAAAATGAGTGTTCCGGTTGGAAGGACTCCAGGAGTTTCAGGTGAACCTTTCAAGGTGGGTCTTCTTTATTAGGTAGAGATGGGGACACTTAGACGAAGCCCTAAGTGATAATGGATATAAAATATGCAACAGATCTCATTAAGGTTTTCCACTCCAACTCCAATTCCACTACGAAGGATGCATATTGTCTAACTAAAAAAGGGGGGGAAATAGAGAACTCTAAAAATTCACTATTGTATTGACAGTGTCTACTTTCTTTCTCTAAATATGTTTCTGGTCTGTGTCGGTTAGTATGCAAACCTCTTTCTCATGTCCCAGGGCAGGGTGAAGATGCAACAGACCTTGTCACAGTCCTTATTAATTATTTTAATATTAGCTCCCTCTATACGCTAGAAAGAAGAGTTGGAGTTTTGTGTGGGTTTTTTTTTTTCTTGAAATCAAGCTAATGGTCTCAAAATTGATGTAAATGCAATTATCCTTAGAGTAGCGCATCTAAGGGGGGCTCAGCCTGTAATGAGCTTTGCTTTATCTCTATTAAAAGCCTATAATGAGATAAGATTTTTAAGGAGTTGCCTTCGCTACAGAGGGCTGATACTGTTGCTTGCCAACCCTTAGCAGATGTTTACTGCCAACTTTCTGGCTCAGTGATAGGACTGACATAAGCAAAAACATAACAAAACAGCGCAAAGGATAATACCTTTGTCAAGCATTCCACAATCTCAGCTGAAGAATCAGACCAACGATGCTGAAAAGAAAAAAAGGAGTCCATTTCCACCGCAGTCACTTATAAACCAGCACACCGGCTGAGAAGTGACCAAGGGAATCTAGAAACCGTGGGAAACACAAAGGGACCGCACCTTCGGGCCTCAGCATCGCGTGTAATGTAGTGCCTCATTGCCTCTTTTTCTCTAGCACAGCGGTTCTCAACCTGTGGGTCGAACGACCCTTTCACAGGGGTCGCCTAAGACCATCGGAAAACACATATATAATTACATATTGTTTTTGTGGTTAATCACTATGCTTTAATTATGTTCAATTTGTAACAATGAAAATACATCCTGCATATCAGATATTTACATTACGATTCATAACAGTAGCAACATTACAGTTATGAAGTAGCAACGAAAATAACTTTATGGCTGGGGTCACCACAACATGAGGAACTGTATTAAAGGGTCGCGGCATTAGGAAGGTTGAGAACCACTGCTCTAGGAAGTCAGAAAAGCAGGCAAGGCCCTTCCGTTTATGCTGTTTGCCTCACTTCCTTGCCAGGCCAAGGTCTCCTTCCAGGGCACACAGTCTCAGTTGCAGAGCTGACCAAAAAGTTACGTCAATTTTCTTTAAACAAGTGTGAAAATAAATGCTTTGCAGAGTAAAAACTACAACATTCACAATGGGGAGGAGGAGGGGGTCGCCGGAGGGGGCGGTATTATCACTGCTTTTATCTTCATTACCACTGGCATGAAGAACCTGCAGACATTTCCAAGGGATATCACTTGAGGTAACCAAATTAGGAAGTGAGAATCAAGAAAAATAAATCCTTGTTTACAAAGGAATTGCAGTTCAAGCCTGAAGCTGGTCTCAGACCATGGACACCTGCCTCTCCCTTCCAGCTTTCTCCTGCTGGCTCCCTCATGGCAGCGCCTCCTCCCCCTCCCCCCCTAACCTCCCCCCCCCCCACGCCCCCACACACACACTGCCCATCCCTACCTGACGCCAGGTGTGTTCTGAGGCCTTCCCCTAGAGCCCTGCCCAGGCAGCAGTACTCAGCCTTCCCTCAGAGCCAGGGCAGGCAGCTGGCAGAGGCTGCTCAGTGTGTGTGTGGTCGGGCCCACAGGTGAGCAGAGGCCCCTCTAAGCCTCGCTCACGAAGGTGCAGTGACTGGCCCAGGGGGAAGATGCCAAGTGGGGGCGGGGCCAGCCCTGGGAGCGGCTGAGTCACAGGACGGCCCAGAGCCACAGGTCCACAGCCTGAGCGCCTGTCAGGCCAGACGGGTGAGGCCAGAGCGTCTCCTCTCCCCCGCCCCTGGAGGGGCTCCCGTCAGGGCCCACCAGTGCTGCTCACTGTCCAATCCCACCTCCCACCCATCTTCTGGCCCCCAAATCCAATGGGTTCCCAACAGGGCCCTGGGAGGCAGCAGCCCGGTTCCTCCCAGAGTCTTGTATCCCTTAACTGGGAGGTAGGACAGCCATTATTTAAGGACTCTTAACTTTAAGCTTGCAGATAATTTGAGATATATAGATTAAAATTATAGAAAAAGCAAAATATACTTATTTGATGGATAGTACTTAAACTCAGTGGCAGTCGATCAGAAATAAAAACCATTTCTGAAAATATCTTGGAATTTAATAGGGAAAAAAAGACTGTACTTTATAAACTTCCATCTAGATACTACTTGTCTGAAGTATATCTTGAGTAAAGTAAAATATAACCAGATTTTAAAAATACTTGGATTACTCTTTTCCACATTAAAATGATCAAAGCTTAGTGGTCACTCTAGGACTAGACAAAATGCTAGCAGTCTTTAGACGACAAGCAGTTCAACAGACATCTACTGAATAGTCATGAAGTGCCAAGTCTACTCGAGGTATTAGATATCTGTATCTATCTGGGTGTAGATATGGATTTATATCTGTATGACCATACTTAGATATACATATAGATAGAAGTATAGACTAAGTATAGATATATAGACCTAGCTATACCCCAAGATGTAAAGATGCATTAGAACTCCTGCCGTCAAGGAATTCAAAGCATTGTGAAGGAGACAGACACATAAATAGAGAAATCAATGAGTCAATTGCTATGACGGAGGAGCAAAAGGTAACAAGAGGCTGACACAGAGGGAGGGCATTCAACCCAACCTCAAGGGTTCAGAAAAGGGTTTCAGCAGGAGGTGACACCTGAGTTAGGTCTTGAAGGCGTTTGGAAAGGGAGAGAAAGGAATCACCAAATGGGAGGGCTTAGAAGCGCGCAGCCGCACCGTGCAGGCAGACGTGGTGGCTGGAGCATTAGACTGCGGAGAACCTGGGACGTGGAATTTAGGGGGCAGATTAGGAATGCTGACCTTGGACATGCATCAAGATGAAGTGCCTCTGAAACATTCAGGTGGAGGTGGTGAACAAGCATTCAGAGAGGAAGTCCAGCCTAGAAATAAAAATTCAAGGTCATCAGCCTATCGATGGTAATCACACCACTGGACAGAATATGACAACTGAGGGAGAGTATAAAGAGAGAAGAAATTCTGGTTCTGCATCTGTAGGAACTCCCAGCACTGAATGGCCAGGAAATGGAGATGAGCCTGCAAAGGAGGCGGAGAAGGAACTTTCAGAGTTCCAAATTCACTATACTGTTATGAACTTGGAGACAAAGACCCTCAGTGGTTTCAACGTAAGCACTCCCAGCACTATCCAAGACTGAGTAGGTACCCAAACTGTATTCTCCAAACTAATCTGGTCACAAAGCTGATATTTTGGTCTCCTCTGCCTGAATACAGTTCCTCAATCTTGTTCAGAACTATAAAGAAAGAAAAAAAGAAGGCAACCCCTTGACATTCAGAAGCTGCTGTGACATCACAGCAAAGACATACATTCTATTAGACATTATAACTATCTGAAAGAATACCAACCTCCAACAAGGTTATTCTGAGACCACGCTAAAAAGGGAAAAAGTAAGGGCATGTCATAATTTTATTTAATCAACACAAAAACAACATCAGTGTGTCACCCCCAAAATAACAAACACCTCCTTTCTTGGCCAAAACGAATGACTGTTACCTCTTTCCCAGTTATAACGTTATCCTCATTCTAGCCCTCCCCCATACATAAGATATACTGACAACCTAGTCAGAGAATTGACCCTGCTTTCTGACAGCATCTGATCTAGAGCAAATCTCCCCTTCCTAAGACCCTCCTGCATATCATCCAACTAAAACCCAAATCCGAATAACAGGTTCTCTCTAACATCCTCACTGGGACACCCGTGATTCGCCACGGTGTGTGTTCTGCCTCACAGCAATGAGGAATAAACCCAGCATGTCCAAATACTGTGCTCCTGGTGGCTTCTGGTTAGAGGGAAGTGACAGAACTCAGCTGTAGAAGATAAATATATTGAACCCCTGCAGCCCCACAAACATCAAGGTCAGGATGGTAGTTACCTGTTTGTTAGAGGGGAGAAGTTGAGTGTGATGGGAGGGGTACAGAGTTTTTGGAAACTCTAAGGAAATAGGTGATAACATTGTTAAGATGTTGTTTCTCCAACATATGGGGTTGTCACATTTTTAATAAAATGGTTAAGTCTGAAATTTTTTTAACAATATACCTTTAAGAAGAAGGATGCAAAATAAACAATAACAGCAGATGCCGCTGAGAAATCAACTTAGCTAAGAACTGAGAAAACACCACTGAGTTGAACATGGAGGTCATTGGTAACTTAGAGAATAACTCTTAGTGGATTGATGGGTGTAAATGGCAGACTAGAGTGGATTAAAGTGTGGGAGAGGGGGGTACTGAGACAACAGAAAACGTATTTCAAAAAGTTTAGTTGCAAGGAGAAGAGTGAGAGAGTACTAGTTGGAAAGGTACGCAATAGGAGAGAAGCCCATGACCTCCTCAGAAGTGGTGAGACGTATGGGCTTCAGCTCTAGACAGGTGACAAGTGGCTGGGAGATAAATCAAGAAGAGGACCCTGTATCCTGCTGTTGCATTTGACCTTGGGATCTGGGCTCTGAGTAACATTTAACTGATCACCACTGCAACCGCCCTTCCCCATCACTGACTACCAAGTATCAAGAATAGGAACCAGTGGAAAGATGGTAAAGGAAAATGGTACTTGTGTACTACAAACCCAGACCCAAACTCATAACATCTGCAACTCTTTCCTTAATGAACACACATAAGTAATAGACTTTGCATTTAGAGTTTAGTCTCTATTTTTACAAATTATAATCATCGCAATATGTAAACTTTACTATAATCCAGCTACTATACTCGGCTTCCAAAAAACTGGGGAAACAGTGAAGCAGAAAAAGGTGATTGTCCACAAAGTTTGCGAGACTCACCATCTCACCTCATAGATATTCTAATGAGAAAGGGATTGGTGAGAAGAAGTCACACAAATGAGCTATGGGTGCGGTTACTTTCAACGCGAACATTTCCCTGCAATGTGGCACCTCCCAGCACAGCTGGACTGAGGCTGCAGCCACAGCCCTGCCACTCTCCACAGCAGCTCGCTTCGCCCAACTGAGGCTGGCTGGGCTCAAGTTCAAGCCTGGAACTTTAGCTGTGCCCTGGGTTCTAAGAACCCGAGAGTCAGTGGTTACTTGGTAAAGCTGCCATTTCCTAGGAAATGCAAACATGATGATGATAAATTAAAAACTCCAGATTGATTCCAGGGGGCTGGAACCTCTTCATAGATAAGAGGATGTCCTAGCCCTAACCAGTTTGGCTCAGTGGATACAGCGGCGGCCTGTGGATTGAAGGGTCCTGGGTTCGATTCCAGTCAAGGGCATGTACCTTGGTTGCAGGCACATCCCCAGTAGGGGGTGTGCAGAAGGCAGCTGATCGATGTTTCTCATTGATGTTTCTAACTCTCTATCACTCTCCCTTCCTCTCTGTGAAAAATCAATAAAATAAAAAAATAAAAAGATGATGTCCTAAATCCTCATGACATGCTACTGAGGGATCATGTATCTATCTTTTTTTAAAACATGGAAAAACTTACATCCCAAAAGCACCATCTTCCTAGATGAATGTAAAATAATTAATCATCCTGCCTGAATGTTCATTCATATCTACACATAATTAAGAAAGAAAATGGAGGTCAAATAAAATAGATACTAATTTTGCCATGTTAATCAGACGCATACTGGACTGGTGAAGAAACTCCAGAATGCCCAACTCAGCCCTAACTCAATATACGACTTTGAGTGAATCACTTCATTTACTGAAGTTCCCTTATTTGAGGAACATTCTAGAGTTGGACTAGATCAGTTCTGATGTCCCTTTGGCTCCCAATCAAAAAGGTATGATTCAATGGCATCTCTCTACCTCTTACCAACCAAATAACCTTGGCCAATCACTGACCTCCTCTGGGTCCAAGCTTCTCAAGTATAAAAGGGAGGTAGAAATTTACCCATCTCTAAGCAGCAGATCTGAATGTCTCAGTTCCTCAGAGGGTAGCCAGGGTAAAATTTTATGTCAACTATGACTTCTGTGGAAGAAAAGAACTTTATTTTCTACAACTGAATTCGACTTTGCTTCACATCCCTACACGGCACTGAGCAGACTGCCTCTGCTACCCCGTTTTGGTGTACTCACTGCAATGCAGGGATTCCTTCCTGTTGGATTCAAGTGTTACCGCATCAGTCCGAAGCTCAACCACTTTCCAGGAGATAGAGCCCAGGCTTCTGCTGCCTTTTCCCTGGATGCACAGGCTCCTGGGAGGGAGTGGGAGAGCCTGTCCCCTTGGACTCTCTCGACCTCCTGCCGGCTGCCTGAGTTTTTCTTTTCCTTTCTCAAGAAAAACAGTCTTGATGTCATATCCTGCATCAATCTATGGTTACTGTAAATTCTACGCTTAGACTGTCAGCTTTGACTTACAGAAAGCACAGATCCTTTTTGGTTGTTGCATTGTTTCCTTCTTTCTCTCTCCCAACAAAGCCTAGCTTTTGGGAACAGAAACTGCTTGCTTTCAGATTATTGTCTCACCATGGACCTTAGAACAAACTCTCCTTTGGATCCTGGAAGCCCAGCCATGGCTCCTTTATCCAGGCGGCATCCACCTCCTCCAGAAACAATGAAGACCCTAATTTCAGCGGAAGGAAAGCTGCAGGGCAATGAGGAATAATTAGGGATTCCTGGGAACAAGAGCAGGTTGGCTTGGTGTTTTCAAAACCATTACCCATGTTACAAAGCCTTTTGTATATGTCTTCTCTTTTTGATTCCCTGAAACCTCTCTCTACGTTAGGTCCTGAACACTACAAAGGAGCTCCCTAACCATCTTCCCACTGCACATCCTCCACAGCTGCCATAAGAGTTTTCCTAAACTCACAACTTCAATCATGATTTTAAAAAATAAATAACTGATCTTCCAAGTCCCTCTCATTTGAACTGCCTCCCAATTTCCAGCCCTGCCTTCTACCATAACCTAATGGTACGAGTGCTCAGATGATCGATGGTGCTTGAAGAGGTAGTGAGCTCCCCAGCTCCATGGAAGTGCGTGTTCAGGCTGATCATCCCCTTGGCAGAGATGGCATAGAGAGCTGGGTATCGGCTGACATGCCTAGTTTGGGAACCATCTAGCCCTGAGAACAATGTTTGCACATACCCCCATCTCTCTGTACTACAGAAAACAAGCTGCTTGTCAATCATACTCAGTACTTTCCCACTGTCATACCTTCGTTCATTTTCATCTTTGTAACAGTCTTCTCTTTTTCATTTCCTACTTTTAATTTACCCCTTTCCAAATCATACTCCTTCTTTGAGTATATCCTTAAAAGCCTAATTGTTCATGAAGCTTTTCTTTACTGCATAAACCCTGAGGAAAAATAGACTCTAGCCTGGCTGGAAAGCTCAGTTGGTTAGAGCATTGTTCCAATAAGCCAAGGAGTGTTCTCTCTCTCTCTCTCTCTCAATAAATAAACAGAGCCTAAGCAGCCATTTCTACACAGGGGCCTCTCATGCAAACTGCACTTCACAGGGAAGGCTGCACTGAGCCACCTGCCTCTGCACTGAACTGCCTGCCTGCACTGTGATTCTGCCATCTGAGCCAGGCCTTATAAAGGAGTTTCTGGAGTCCTATTTCAACCAATAGGACTGAGGCTTTCCCCATCCAATCAGAGTTATGCAGCACCAACCAACCAGAGAAGCTCTATTCTGGCCAATCAGGACAATGCCTTTTGGACCAATCAAACTGTGAGGACTTGGAGTCCTCATCTGCATGGGGACAGACCAATCAGGGATAAGGGGCCAGAGACTTTGTTTATATAAACCAGCTCCCCTCTGACTCTGAGAGCGCACTTTCCCTTTCCACCAAAGACTGAAGACTATGTCTCCCTAGCCGAGCTGACACACGGAAGTCTCAGCACAGCAGAGCAGAGCACATGAGGGCAGCACAAAGCACACCAGCACAGAGCACTGAGGAGCAGA